GGGCCAGAGATAAGTTACCACGCTGGCCTGTAGCAGCTCCGGGTTCAGGCTCCTTCTATTCCACCTAGGGAACTTGTTGTCGTGAGGCTCCCCATTGGCCGCCGTTCCCCCCTCAGGTGCAGGTATATATACTTGTGGTCGGATAGTGTCTCCTCATCCGTCGCCACCTCCCAGTGTTCAATTAACTGCAGTGCAGCTGGCGACGCCCAAGACAGGTCGATTACTGACCTGCCCTGTGGCCTGACGCAGGTCGGCTCGAAGTTGTTATTTAACAGCTTAAGGTCCATAGCCGCGGCCCATATCGTGATGATGTCTCCTCTCCCGTTTGAGCGTGTATTATTCCATGTCTTGGATCGAGCATTAAAGTCCCCCAAGACCAGAAGCGGGCCATTCAGGTAACCCCTTACAGCGTCGCCAACCTTGGCCAGGAATGCCCTAAATTGATTAACACTTCTGTTGGGAGAAAAATAGCAGGATGCTATCACTATCTTTCCCCATGCGACCACCACATACCCATTCCCCGCCTTCAAAGTCGAAACAGCGCTTGTCGATTCATCGTCCACCCAAGTCACCGCTGCCATGGGGATCTGTTCTGTGGATCTCACCCATTTCGAATTATTTGGCACTCGGTGTGGTTCTGATACGCATGCCAGGCTACACTCCTTCTCCCGCATTGTTTGGATCAAAAAATCATGAGCTCCGCGTGATCTATTTAAGTTAGCTTGAATGATCTTCCTCCTAGGCATCTAACATGCGTTCTTCAGCCACCTTACTCCGATTGGCCAGGGGGACCTCACGCCTCGGACTTTGGCGAGGCATCCTCCTCGGGGGACAGGGCGGGCAGATTTCTGACCCTGTTCTGTGGTCATACCTCAAGCCCTTTTCTCTGCAAGTTAGGCAGCGCGGGGGCTTTCCACATTCTCTTGCAGTGTGCCCTGCCTCGCAGCAATTGAAGCACTTGTCGGTCCTATCTACCTCACTTGGGCAGTTGTCCCTGACGTGGCCCGTGGCGAAACATCTGAAACACTGCAGTGGCCTCCTTTTTAACAGTATCACCAGGGCCGTGGACCAGCCCACACGGAGCCTGCCAGCGTCCGCCAGTTTGTTCGCCGCGTGCAGGGGGCACTGCAGCCATACGGTCCTCAGACCGTTTCTTGCCAGCCTAAACGAGCCCAGTCGCACAGCAGACACCTCGCATCCGCCTTCCGTGGCCAGAGCCTCGATTAGCTCCTCCGTAGACACAGAGGCATCGAGCTCAGCCAGCCTCAGCTCGCCCCTCAGCGTTGGCCCTCTGACCTGTATATTCGTTTCTTTGAAGGCCTCACGAAGTCTTTTAGCCAAGCTATCCGCTGCCGGTGAAGTGTCCTCGCCCCGGATCTCAATGAGCACGTTCCCGGCGACCGTGCTTCTCATTCTGATCTCTCTGATTCCAAGTTCTTCGAGCTTAATTTCCTCCCGGGCCTTCCGAATAACCTCGGAATAAGTAGGGCCGCCCTCCGGGCAAGATATTGTGACCGCTGATGACCTGGGGGCACGGCTGCGCGGTGCTTTTGCCGATCCGCCAACGCGCCTCTCCTGTGCATTCTCCCTTCGTGTTCTCTCCTCTCTCGGAATCGCTCGCGTGTCTCCACGGGCGGGTTGTAAGTCTGTCCTCTCTCCCTCTGGTGTTGGTAGCGGGGGGTACTCCCTCGAGTACTCAGGCTTCTCCGCTGCTAATTC